TTTTAATATATATATATATATATAACGCTCGCTTTGTGTATATACATATGTGTGTGTGCGTGCGCGCGCGCGCGTGCGTGTGTGTGTGTTTATGTATGTATATATACAGCATTCTTATATAAACAGCGATATTCTTTACAGATTCAATTAAGTTAACTCATTTTACATACACACCTATTGCGTACGCAACTTGTGTTAATACGATAATTTTATTCTACTTCACTGACGCATTTCCTACCTTTAAAAAATATATTGAAAGACAATCTTCAATGGCTACGTTTAACAAAGAAAGTACTTTATGTAACTGTTGCAAAATTTTTCAATATATTTCATTTATACATTTAAATCCATGAGAAATAAAAGGCAAGAACCAATCATATTAAAAATCCTTATAACAGTTGCAAGCTGTTTTTTTTACTAAACGCAACTAATATTTTAAATTGACCTGATTGAATAAATATATTCAATAAAAGCATTTTCGTGAACTTGGTAACATACGTCAGTTATAGTAGATCCCAAGAAAAGAGCGGTCGCTTGCATAGATCGTAAGAAGGTTGCATTCAACAAAAAACATCCTTTGCAGTGTAACACAAAACATCCCTTGAAAAGAAACCATTCGAGAAACCATTAGTGAAATTTAACGCCTGCGAGCCTTTTGAAATTTTTACGACATAATACACGAATCAGGTATAAAAAAAACATGGACATAATATATTGCACGACAAACTTGAATAAAATTAAACGTAAATGCAAATCGATTTTGCAAATATAAGATACAAGTAGATGTGCATAATTAAAAGCGAATTTATTTAACAGCAGGAATTTATTTTAGATAAATATTATTGCAACAACACTTTGACAAATTTAAATTTTGTTTTAGACCACAAACCAGACAAAATAATATTTGTAGAGAGATATATATAAGTTGCTAATGAGAGTCAATGCAAAAATAAACCAATATGATTAAAGTGAGATTAATATTATTGACTGTTTCAAAAATCACATCAACAGAAATATTAACCAATTCTCAGTAATCACAGATAACAGATAAATTATTACACGAATTTAACTGGGATAATATTTGAATTTTGAACGAAGAACTACATTAATAATAAAAAATTGTTCTCTGAAGCGACATTAAAAAAAACAATCACGGATTATGTGAATTACATGATTATGTATGTGATTATATGATTATGTAAAATTTACAAAGTGAATCGCAGTTTCTTGACTTCATCTGTAGTGACATTATTAGTTGTCTTAACGATCTTGATGCTTCTTAATTATTTTATCTTTTTTTTAATAGATATGTACTTCACTCTAACAATATTGATCTCTCTCTTTCTCTCTCTCTCTCTCTCTCTCTCTCTCTCTCTCTCGGCGTTTATATTATTAATATATTTATTCATATAAATATTAAAATAAAATTTATTCATATTATTAAATTTACTTTATATGCTTATATGTTAATTTGTATTGAAAAGGACTAAAAATTATAGTCACAAAACGTTTACAATTCATTTTTTTATTTAATTGATTAGTAAATTCATTGTACGCATCGATATCAGCGTTAGCTCTTATTGATAACTTATATCTTTTTCTTACTGATTTATTCTCAAAGCTTTTTTATCAAATCATTGTTTAATTCTTATAGATTTTTTATCGCTAAAAGGGAATCCATTAATGAAATTATTCTATCACACCACTTTTAAACAAATTAGACTTAAAAGTACCAAAAATGGCATATTTTTTTAGTAATTTTGAGCTAAAGTTGCTAAAAAATATACAAAAAGTTACACAGTAGAGATAAATTAAAAGAACGAAACTTAAATCCGTGACATCTTTCTGTAAAATCCTTCTGTCGAATTAAAAAAAATTTTTTACAATAAATGAGAACGGCTAAAAAGAATTCTAGAATGACGAAGCAATTTCAATAATGGATTCGTTTTCAGCAATAAAAAACACAAATTCGGTTAGATGCACTCAATGCGCACTAGTGCATATTAAAGATGTACACAGATTGACGTAAAGATGCATATTTAATATAAATATAGAAACGGCGATTTACATATTAAACCACGAAATCCACAATACATTTTATTGTGCTGGATAAAATGTGTATGTCATAAATCAAAATATTTGCATTCGTGGGCAGAGACTTGTAATTTTTTGGCATATGGAGTATCAACACCACTGGAAAGGTAAAAAATAATAAATGTCGGATTGATTTTTTGTATATATACATACACATATACATGGAAGTGTAACATGTATTACGCCTGTCCAATTAATAAATATAAATATAAATATAAATGAATTTTATTACTGAGTTAAAACTGCGAAGCACATTCCTGGAGCGCTGTTTTTCGCAAATAAACTCCTCCATTAAAATATCTGCATTCAATAATTGTGCAAGCTCTTTATTAACGTGTATTATTGCCACTTATTTGGTCTTCACAGCCCGCGTGTTTACTTTCTATCTTATATGTACGTTTCTTAAAATTTGCACAAGTTTCAATGTTTGTTTCTCAAATCTGGCATGTGGAATTCCACATGCCAAATATTTGGTTTGTGAAATTTCTATGCTCGATACAGAACTCTTTGATCGTGTTTGCATTTCATTTGTGTTAACATTAAATCCGTGTATAACGACTTTGATACGCATCAGTGCACACTAATGCATCCAATTGAATTCATTGTTCAAGGATCATCTTGTCTGGTTTATGATCTAAATCCATGTGACACAGTGTAATGAATGTACGTATTTGGTATGAGTATCAAATGATGCGTCTGTCGAAACATAAAGTGCTTAAGTTGCCATTATGCATTTGGATAATTAGTCTGAGTAACAGTAATTAATTTTAGGAATAATCATAGATGAAGACCTGTAATGCCATTGGCATTGATATCCGATGTGTTTAAAATTTCTCAGATAATAACAACGTACATATAATACATATATGATGCTATAAACTTGGACTCGCGACATTGACATAATAATTTAAAATTATTAAAATTATTAAAATAATTTAAAAAGAAAAACGGCAAATAACACATGATTATCAGAGCACAGAAATCAATTTGATTATACACGTATAACATCATAATATACAGTGAATAAGCGATGCCTGCTAGAAATGATAAAGAAGTTTTTATAATTAACAGAACACAAGAGAAAACACAAGAGCCATTAGATAATCGCATGATTTATGTGAAAGAAAGATAAAAAGTGAGATAAACCGAGATTAATTTTAATCTCAGTTTAACTTACTTTTTATTTTTCTTTAGTTTTAAAAACTAGAAAAAGATATAGAGTAAATTAAACCGAGATTACTTAATCTACATTGACGGAAACGGACATAAGGCACGTGATTATCAAGTCGTAGAATTCAACAATAGAAGTTTTCATTTTGAGGGATTTTTTTGTTACAATCTCTTCAATAGAGGAAACATCTATTACTGCATTTCTTTCAATTTGTAATATCGACAAATTATATTAAAATATTACTATTCAACAAAAAATGCATAAGAAAGAAGGTAATCATTTTTTGTAGTTATTTGGACGCTTATGACTCTATTGTTCAAAATTGCTCTGTCATGTCGCAATCATCATTTAGAAAAATTTGCAATTAAAATTGCAAAAAGAACTATTTTAGCATATTTTGATATATTACACTGAAAAAAATTATACGCAACATAAAAATATAAATATAATGTTGATATATTGCCATTGTTATATAATATTACAGTAATTTACATAGAAATTATAAAATATACTATTGTGATTGTATTAGGAGCATGACTTGTATTTT